TTCTATTCTATTCTATTCTATTCTATTCTATTCTATTCTATTCTATTCTATTCTATTCTATTCTATTCTATTCTATTCTAAGACACTTAAAAACCCCAAGCACAATTCTGCCCTAAAGCCTGAGAAAGCAGCTAATTTTTCCATTATTTTCTGAATGTCATTGAGGTGGGATCCAAATGGATTTCTGGGGGGATGCTGTTCCAGAGAATAGGAATTATAACAGAGAAGGCATATTTCCTGGGTTCCAACGAATAATACTATTTTATGAAGGGAACAATTTATCCTGATAATCCTATCTGCATTCTATTCCATGGTTAACCACAAAAAATTAATATAGCAAGTCCATTTGCTTAGACAAATGGCTCATTTCTTGCAATCTTATTGCCCTGACTCATGAGGGCTATCTGTGTTGGACAAAAGTGTTCAAAATAGGCATTTCTTTTTCAGCGAAAAGAAAAAATAACCTCATTTTCATATATAATCTGTATAATAAGAGGGTTTTCCCTTTCCTCATGCCTAAATCATCACTTACTATGGTAGGAGGCAATGATCTGGTTTCTTTTTCAATGTTCGAGAACAGACATTCATTTTTCAGTGAAAAGAAAAATAAGTTCATTTTCATCTCAAACATTTTAAAAAGTTACTTTAAAAACAAAAACAATTGTGGGGAAAGAGGCTATGTCACTGTATAATAAGAAGAGAGTTTCCCCCTCCCCCATGCCCGTAAACCATCACTTACTAGTAGGCAATGAACTGGGTTCCCTCTCAGATCTGTGTCCGGGGCCTGCAGCAAATGCCAGTCTCGGCCTTTGTTGTAGGTGATGAAAGTTTTTACTTGGTTGTCAATCTTCTTGTTAGCCAAGAACATTCCCTTTATCCCTGCTACCTAGGAGAAATTGACATGGCTGAAAAACAAGATAAATTTGACACAAATTGTGTGTGCATTTGGTACCTGTCAAATCTAGCTTTAGAACCAGCATGCAGAATGAATATGTAGCAGGCTCCGAGGTGAAAATTGCATCAAAAGATTTCTTACTTACCAGAGGTTAGGGAAAAAAAATAAGATGGAAAGTGCTGTGGATTCAGACAGGTTAGAAGAAGGCATTGCAGGGTTGAACATAAAAAAAAAAAAAAAACAGTGTAGATTTTGATGAGGTGACTGGGACAAAGCGGTCACAATCATCTGAGTTTTATTTAAGCTTGTAAAATGGTAAAAAAAGTGTGTGTTTTTTTGAATATAAATTCTACACCTTCATATAAATCATGCTCACCTGTGTTTGGGTAGATAGGGATATCTGTGTGTGCATCTCTCTCTCTCTCTCTCTCTCTCTCTGTGTGTGTGTGTGTGTGTGTGTGTGTGTGTGTGTTTTTATGTCTGCATTTGGGATCTCTTTGGGAGAAAGGAAAGTATCAGTTCCTTTGAAGGAGATAATATTGCGCACTTCCCAGAAAAGCCATTTTTGCTAACTTTATTATATAACCCTAATTCCAATCTTATACAAAAGTTTGAAAGGTATAATTACAATAGTTGCAGAGTAGACCATACCTATCTTGTTCTTTTTTAGTTGTGGCTCAAGCCTGGCAATGGGCAGAAACCAGACTGTTATTTTGATAGATCACCTTTTTCAGACCCATAAGGTAGAGAGGTGAGCTCTCTTTATCCTATTAGACCTTTCAGGGGTGTTTGATACTATCAGTGGCATTGTTCTGGGCCACTTGGAGGGTGGCAAGTAGAGATGGCACTATTTTGCAATGGCTTCACCCCATTATGAATGGATGGATAGTTGGAGTTGCTATACAAGGAGAAGTCAATACCAGCGCAAACACTGGCTTCATATCTGCTATTATTTTAGATCTAGATGGGGATCATTCTCTTTCAGAAGAAGCAGGTTCCTCACTTGAGGGCTCTTCTGCTCTCCTGGGTATTACTTGACAGTTGGTGTCTATAGTCAAGGAAACTTTGTTACATTGGCTCCAAATACAATTCAAAGTAAAAATGAAACCTAAACAGTTTTATATGTTTATATGGTTATCCAGTTTCAATATTTAAACTGCTTGCTTGCTCAATTTGTAAATGTGAAAGTAAAAAGCTTTATTTTTTCCCCTCATTTTGATGTTAATTTACTTTTAACCAGTTTTTATAGATTTGTTTTTATGGTTTGATGGTGCATATTGTATGTTTTATTGTAAAATAATTTTCAGCAAATTGAAAGACCTAGTAGGAAAAACAACAACAATAGAATCTTTCTGCACAGCATTAGTTATTATTTTATTTATTTTAATAGATTCTGGAAACTCTTTTTTCATAAATTTGTCTGATTCTTCCTTCCGTTAACACCACTGTATATAAGGAAATATATCCAGAGCCACTTTTTCCTCTTATTATATCTTGTTTTATCATGAATTGTCAAACTGTCATCAAGTCTTATATAGTAATTCTAATTAATGCAATGGAAAGAAGCAAATGACACAATTTTTCCCATTAGAAATGATAGCAAACAACTGATGATAAACTTTCACAATCTGATATTTTCCTGTTATGTTGGTTTGACATATCCATAATTCCAAAGGAAATAAAGAATGTACAGGTTAGGAGAAATGGTCCACAAATTTTCAGAACAATTCATTTCACTGAGAATAAAAGTGGAAAGGATAAAGGAAAAGAAATGAAAAATAACTTTCATTCATCAGAAAAGGTTGACTTTGTTTATGTGTTTAAAATCAATACTCCAATATCTCTAGTTTCCCTTAAGATCAAATAAATCTTTTGCTTTTTTACCCAATATTTACAGCAGCATGAGATTCTGCCTTTGGGTAAATTGCTGCTTCAGTGAAAGAGTAAGTTGGGTGGGACAGACTCCTTCTGTCTTTCAGCAGGAAATTTCTGATTACTACAACCTAAACTGCTTTCTTGACATGGCTAAAAACTCTCAAAGAGGTTTTTTTTCTTTATAGCCATTGTTGTTTAATTATTATTCAACAGCTATGTATGTTTTAGAAAATATTACCAGTGCTTAAACTTCAATTATTAAAGTCTAGCTTTAAGGAAGGTGAAAGGAAATAGAAAATGAGGACATATTCTAGGAAAGGCAGTACAAAGATTTCTGCTTGATCTAAAATTTTGATGGGATACCAAGCAGTTTTAATTAGCATTTGGCACCGTATTATTATTTTTTAGGGTTGTAGGTAAGTAATAAAAGCATACACATGCTTTTCCATGTTAAAAGTAATGAAATCTGGAAATTTAAATTTGCACCCTTATTTCAGATAATAGCCCATATAAAGAAGTTATTTCACATTTGCTAAAATATAATACACATGTTTACTGAATGCTTACTGAAGGCAAGAAAGAAAGGTCACAAATATGTGGTAAAACTATAACAAAAAATCCTGAATCACTGATCTATACAAAGGTACAGTGATCAATGTAGAACTGTAACTTTTAGCAAATAAAGTTATATGTGCCTCAGAAAGTATTGTCAATAACAATGTTCACGGGGTAGACAAAATACAAGCAAAACTGCTTAAAATCTCGCAAGCTGGTGCTCTTAAAGTACTGAGCATGAATTAAGGAAACTTAGGCAAAAGATTGTGACAAATCTAAACAAAATAATAATTGCCTAGAAAGATACAGATTATTAATGGAATGGTATTCTTGCTTATAAAATGTCTGTAAAATTTGTATCATTTAAAAATTTGAATGAAGAAAATTAATGCCTTTGAACTGTCATGTTGGATAAAATTATTGTGAGTACCTTGATAAGTAAGAGGAACATATCATTCAATAACAGATTAAAAAAAACAGGTAAGGAAATCACGGATAGTGAAGTATTTTGCATACATAAAGAGGAAGCAATATTAAAACTTTGGAAAAAGTCTTGAAGTTCGCAAAAATTGATGGCAATTAAAAAAAAAGATCAACAGGATCTCTGAATCCTATATACCATTACTGATATCATGAGCATGAGAAGAACTCATTTACTGAAAGACAGTTCTTGAGTATGATTGTCCATCAAAGTGTTGGAAGTTACTAAATGATTGAGCAATAATTATAATTAAACATCATGACCAAAGAACATTATGACATGAGAATGTTGAATATAGCCCATACATATTTTAGTGCAAAAACAAAATCACTCCAATGTTATACTGTATTTAAAAACTGATTTTTGTTTTTTAAAAAACTTTCCTTGTTAATAGTTAATAATCGGGTAGAGTATCTCAAAATGCTTTAAATAGAAAAGATGTCTTCACATATAAGTGATGTCTAAAGTGAGTATATGGACAGCAGAGTCATGTACAACGGCACTACTTCTTTGCAGATTCAAGTATAGTTTTCCTTTAGATCTTCTGGATAAACACCAGATCTTGAGTGAGGGCAAGGGCAGAGTACAAGGAAAACAAATATGTAGTGAGCAATGCCACTATACCTAGCCCCATCTGTAACAAACATCCTTACACACTTGTTAGATATGTCTCCAAATAGCTCTTTCAAGTATGTGTATTATTAAAAAGTAGCATCCCTACCCAATTGTGCCTCTTAGTGAAAATGGTAGAATGAATTAAAAGGAATGGCTCATTATAAATCAGAATATTCATTCAAATATTCAACAGAGAGTCAAAGAGAAAAAAATATAAAGAATAAAATAAATAACCCACCCATATAGACATTTATACGTCTTACACATATACTTATTTTCTATCTTTTCTACTTGATTTTTTTCCTCTTCCTGTTCTTTCTCTTCATTTATTCTTACATGCTCATCATTCATAGCAATCTTAGCAATTGGCCAGAGAAATCAGAGTGAAGGAAATGGTTTCTGCCAAGTTCAATGTCAGCCAATATTCCTTCTATCTAGGCAATCAACAGATGCGACATGACTAGTCTGATCACATCAATTTCAATCCAGACTGCTATGAATACCAGCTTCATAAAACAAAGGCTTTCTTTCTATCTTTCCCTTTCTTCTCCCTCCCTCCCTCTCTCTGAGCTATAGGACATCTTTACATAATGCAGCGGAACCACTACTTAATCTGATGGTAATAGAAGATAACAGTTTTTCAACAACTTGCCAAAGCTCACAGGGGATTAATATATCGTTGTGAAAGAAATTTTCTTCACTGTAGTCAAGAAATGCCCTGCTTATTCACCCACACTTGTCTGCTTTTAAACACTGACCTTTAAGACTTCTCCAGGTTTACTGAGAGTGCTTACTATTTATAGTTGCTCAAAATAGGATGTCAAGACAATCAGTCCACCAAAATTTCTTTAATGTTCACAAAAGTATCCTTTCAAATACTAGGTTGGTGGGGAAAGTACAACGGTAGTCTTTATTGTGCATGTAGGTAGACTCAGGTATGACTTTTCTTCGAAAAAATTCTGGGTCATTTCTAGAGTGTCTGAACAATGAAACATGGGACCCGTGCTCAGTTAGATCCATGCCAGTACCTCATGCAGAAGTAAGGAGAGAATTAGTGTACTTAAGTAACAAGGTAGAATAAACAACTCTGTAAGCTTGTGCACGTATATTTTTGGCCTACCACTCATCAACACATGAAAAGATTTTCAATTTTTGTTTTAGGTGAAGAAACGTATAAGCGTGTAGAAATCACTTCATGCAAATCTAAATATTTAAGAGCTGCCTATATATTCAGCAGTTAAATGCAATTGATCGGAATGTGCTTTTGTCCTGTCTTAGGGGTGAAGGTAGAGGTGAGTGCTGATGAAAGCTATCTATAGATGTACAAATCAACATCAGTACTACAATTGTGCACTGATATGTAATATTGATATATAATACTGATTGCAAAGATTAATGTAACTCCGGGGAAATATTATTTTGTATATTCTTTCCCCGTAGAGATTACACTACACATCCAATTAAATTTCCAGTTACAGATCAAGGACACTTTCAACCTTAGCTAATGATTTTCATGAGATGAAAATACATACTGTTTTCACATACCTCATACAGGTCTATCATCACATTGCCTTCTAGGTCTCGACTACTTTTGACATTTTCTAAAGCCAGGGTAAAGTAAATCCCCTGGGTATCAGAGATATAAAGGTTGTATGTATCATTCTGGTTCCATTCCTGAACTGCAGCAAACACTTGATTCTCATCAGTGCTGATAAGATGCATGTCCTGAGGGAGAAAGCACGGAAAGACATTATGGTTGGCATTTCATTTGTCACTGTTCCAAGGACAAGGCAGGGTAATCCTCTAGAAGCCAAACTCACAATCATTATTGAATCTAATCAGACATCCAAACCAATTTACTTGCATACACACATATCCATATTTTACAGATTCTTTGTTCTGCTAATATATGCAGAGTTATAATGAAATGAAATCACATAAGTGAGCATGTATATTAGTCATTGTATTGTATAGCAGTAATGAAAATGAGTGTATTTGTTGCACAAAATGTCAAAATTTACAGTTAAGACTCTTGTTGCATTATGGATGGGGATTTTCAAAAAAAATCCAATCTATTGTATTTAAAATTGAGAGTAAATTCACGCCTTCATAAACTTGATGTTGCTTTACACCACAGCTGTGGAATTTAATTGTAATCCATTTCATTTAATTTCCTATACTACTGTAACTCATAAACATTCTTTTTTTAAAAACAAAGTTCTTAAAAACTTCACAGTATGGCATTATCTTGTTATCACCCAAAATATAAGTCTACATTCTCCATTTTTGATTAGTCCATGTCTGCTTTTTACATTTATGTATGTGTATACATATCTGTTGTGGCCCCGATTCCCGAGCCTATGCTGTCAGAGGAAGAGGACCTGGAAGATGAAGAGGAGGAACTGGGAATGCCTTCCTCCCCAGGACCTTCCTGTCTGGCAATGCCTTCCTCCCCAGGACTTTCCTCCCTGGTAATGCCTCAGGTTCCATCAGACAACCGAGAGGAACAGCCTGAGATTAATCAGGAGGAAGGCATATCAGAGCAGCCCCTGACAGGGAGTAAAGAGGAAGAGTGTTGGCTCGATCCTAAGCAGCGTCTTCTGATTTTCTGTGAATAAAATTTTATTTGCTATCAGTTCGGACTTGGCAGGCAGGACATGTTGGAATGCCAAGAATATTATCAGTTCCAAAGAATTAACTCTGTGAAGTCTGAGCCAGCTTGCCTGTCTGTGTTTGTGTGAGTTTGTACTCTTTCATCTTTTCGGAAAGAGGAAAGGCGAGACAGAACACATATCTATGTTTTATTTCAGAAACTGTGATGATAGAAGCAACAAAACTGTTACAGAATCTGGTAGTCCTGCTAGAAATACTTTGAAACCTCCTCCCAGAGGGGAGCAACAAAAGCAGGCTGTAAAGTGGATGTGTGGGGTCTCCAACAATGCTGTGTTGACAGGCAGTACTGTGTATCTCTGTGCTGTGATTGAATATTTGAAGTAAAGTTTACCAAACCTATATGATCAGTAATCTGCTGCAAAGACAAAGAGAATAGGCTTCGTCATAAGATGAGCCAAAACCATCAGGCATAGATCATACTACCCAAGATTCTGCATGCAATAACCCACCACCCACTCCACCCCCCCGGGAAAAAACCTCAGAGTGACAGTCCTGTATTTACTTTGCTGGGAGATTGAGGATGCATTGTTTAAAATAGAAAGAGCAGCTAAAAGTCTGTTTAGCCTTAATGAACACAGGCAATGTACGTTCTGCACTTGGTTGAGTTTGTGCTCAGAAGTTAACTCGGGCTGAATATAATTTGTAACCAGATAGGAATTTAGCAAATGGAAACTCACTTGCTTCATGGTGTCCTTGTCAGCTCCCGGGGTGGGGTGGGGACACAGTTTACTGACAGGTGCTGGTGAAGAGGAGATTAACTTTACCTGCAAGATTCTGATTCTATGGTTAATCCATGGGCTCAAAGAGATGTTGGATAAACAGTTGCCTGTCTTCTTCTCTTGCCACCTTTCAATACCTGCTATACTTGGAATATCTGTCAGAGCTGATAATAAAAGTGAAGAGAGATGTTTCTTTCTTCTTGAAATCTCATAATCCCATGGAGCAGCTTTGGATGATTACAGGCAGTACAGAGGAACAATGATTTTTGAAGGAATCAGAGTCTCCTATTGTCAAATGCAGAATGGACCTGGAAACTGTTGATCTGGGAAGGGAGATATGTCCTCAGCAACCTAAAATGGTTAATGAGATCTGACCAATTGCCAGATCCTGACCACATCATTGACTATATCAAGGAGGCACTATATTTTTTTTATAGAGGCATGATTGAGAGTATTTTAATAAACTGCATCACTGGTTTGGTGGCAGCAGTGCCTCAGATAGAAAGTCCATATAGAGAGTGGTAAGAACAGTGGAGAAAATTATAGGAAGCTTGCTTCCCGTTGTTCAGGATTATTGTTTATAAGTGTTATGTGCTTTTAGCTCATAGCATTGTTGGAGACCCCACACATCCACTTTACGGTCTGCTTTTGTTGCTCCCCTCTGGGAGCAGGTTTCAAAGTATTGCTAGCAGGACTACCTGATTCTGTAACAGTTTTGTTCCTTCTATCATCTGTCTGGTAAACTCACAAGATTTGTTTTTCTCACCATGTACATTTATACATCCAAACTAGAATGTGTTGTTTCTCTGTGTCATATAATATATGTGGGTATACACTTACTTACTTACTTACTTACTTACTTACTTACTTACTTACTTACTTACTTACTTATATTTTTGTCATGTTTATGTAGTATATATTAGAGATGGTGATCCTTTGAGAGCTGTATGCAACGAAATTTCATTTTAATGTATGCTGATTAATGTACATTTAAAGTGACAATAAAGTTATTCTAAGTCTGTTCTAAATTGTTAGCAAAACAACATCAAAAGATGAAAGACAGCTGTTGATAAAACAACTAAAGATATGTCCAAACTGCCTCTGGGGGGAAGAAGGGATGTTAATGGGGCATCTTTGTGTAGTGGTTAGCAAGATGTGAAGTTGAGCTCTTATAATCATAATTGGTTTAAACAGTTTTATAATTGGCTCCACCTCTCTGTTAAGATCTTATATTTGCAATTTGAAGATAGTGAAAAAGCAAGGAGAAAACAGTTTCACAGTTGCAGAGTTTGGTGGTTCTACTGTATAGATGACCAAGTTCTTTCTCTCTTCTAGGTGTATTCAACCAGTTTTGAGAAGCAATACTTAGTATTCCTGGTAGTTGTGATTGTACATTGTTTATCTGCCACTCTTTCCACCATTCTTCTTTTTCTCAGTCTATATTTTACTAGGCAAAAGAACTGTCAGCAAACTTGTCATGGACAACAACTGCTACTCAAGTGCACTACATAATAACGCCCTTGTTCTTTCTGTCAGATTCAGCAATTTGTCTGTTGTTTCTGCTGGGCAAATCACGCCATGAAACATGTTTCCCACTGACATAGAGGAGTTAAGTAGAAGAGAAGGCTGGGAGAGGGAGATAAAAGGCAAAAAAGAAAGGAAGAAAAGCAGGTTCAAATTTAATGGGTGTAACCCCCAGCCTCCATCCTGACAACAACCATGATGGCTTTGTTTTAAGCCTGCCTGGAAAAATGTGGTATCGCTAGCCCTGAAAATATCCCAGCCTCAGCACTGAAGGACAGTTCACATTAACATGCAGCACATTTATCTGACCTTTGCACTTTCCTAAAGAGGAAACAAAGCTCAATATTATGTGCATCATTTGAATTGGGCATATGAAAAGAACTAAAGTCTTGCGCTTTCTGAATCACCATGAAATTGCAAGTTCCCCTTTGCTCACTTGATATGGGGAATGTAAACTTTTTGAAAATTTAATGAAGGCAGTCTAGGATATAATTAATCTAGCTGTTGAAACCGTAGGTTATTTTGAGAGTTTATTTTTTAGAGAAAGAACTCTCCTTTTTCACTTTTCTTCCCTAGCATACTAGTTTCTGTTGCCCTCATAACTTGATTAAAATGATTCTTTCCATAATTACAGAAAATGTACCTTGTTTTCTCCCTCTCTGTCTCTCTGTGTGTGTCTCTGTCTCTGTCTGTCTCTCTGTCTCTGTCTGTCTCTTATGCTAACATACTTCCTTATTCCTTATTGTCACGAAATGACTATGTAAAATTATTTTGGAATGTTATTGTCTAAGCAATCTAATATAATTTTTTTAAAAAGTCAATTAAAACATAATATTGTATTGATGTTATCAACTTAAAGACAAGTATCTTGATGTACAAGCTATAAAACAATCATTATTTATTTTTACTTGCAGACAATTAGTTATGTTCCCTTGGAAAATGGCTGGTTCACATAACATTCTTAATCTGCTTATGAAATTTACACTCTGGTTTGCATTGAATCATAGACTAATCAATAAGCCATGCAGAAATAAAGCCAAGCTATGACTGATTGTATAAGTAAAGCCAGGGGATTGTTAGTCTTTCTGATTAAATGCATCAATCCAAATAGACTTGGGAAAAAAGATGGCCGACAATGTTGCAATAAATACATTTATTCTAGGAGTTTACTTAATTAACAATAGCTCTTTAATGGTAGAAAGAAAGCTTCTAAACTAGGTTAGTTGGTAGGAACCAATATTTGATTTCTCAGTGCAGTTTTTTTTTCAAATTATTTTCAAACTAAATACAGTGAATTGGAACCCAAATATTTATAGAAAGTTTTATCTCAGAAACTTAAAACAGTCAGTGTTGTAATGAAACATTTTGCATCTATTTAACATTTTCAATAGAAAATAATATATTTGTCAGATAGTGTTAAGTGATGTATTGTATACATAACTACTTTTGTATTTGAATCTTTCTATTGAATTATATCTGTACAACTTTATTATTTGTACAGTAGCAAGAGCTGAAACTAAACGTATACAGATGCTACATTTCTTGATGTTTTTTATAGTTTGAGAGTGATGGGCATATCTAAATGCCAAAGTACCTGGCACCAAATAGACCTCTTTATATGCTTATCATTCTTAATCCAAATCCATGGACTAAATGAATGATAATAGCCAACATCCATTGACAGGAGTTATTATGCATGATAATCTTAATGAGGTTTGCAAGTCAGCATTTTCAAATGCTGCTGCCTGATGCCTAGAATAATTATTTCACTATGACCACATGAAAGGCATCATATTTTACTATTTCCTTTTACCTAAACCAGTAGAAACATCAAGACAAGAAATCCAGAGAAAAAGTTACTTTGTCTCAGTAGTAAAATTCTATACTAAAATCCCATAAGCTGCTATGGTACTAAGAACCCTTTACAGCATTGATTTTATTTGGAGAAAGTAATTGAGCTGAAAGAGATTAAAGACTCTCTACCGATAAAAGGCCGTGCTTGTTTCATTTCCTTTTGACTGTGTTGTGCTTTGTTCATTTTTAATAAAGGCAGCCACCTGCTTTGATAATAGCATCCTAAACACACTTTTCTCACTGTGTCTCCGTGCATACAGATTTAGAAGCTCATGCTTTGAAGTTGTGTGAGCTTGTAATGAAGCACCTTGTTGCCTTAAATATTACCCTGCAGGTGGATTTAACATCGGCTGCTCCTTGAAAAAGGTGACAGAGAGGGACCCTTGGGGCTCGTTAGAGAAAGCATTATCCTACTTCGGAAAAAGTTGCTTAGAAGATATTTAATTCAAATTACTTCTATAATGAATTATATTAGCTAATAAACGCTCATGCACAAAGAGGGAAGAAAGATATTTTTAGTTATTATGGGCCTGCATAAGGAGGCATAAAATTATTCCACCTTGTCTATGACACATGGGGAATGTTTTGCTCTTCCTTTTGGTTCCTTTTACTTTCTTTATTCTTTGCCAATTTAAATTCCAGATACTCTAAGCAATAGTCTTTTCAAGAAGATCAACATTTCTAAACCCTCCCAGCCAATCAACACAATCCAATTAGGTAAAGTAACAAGTACCATATTAAAAATATCAAAATTACTTATCTTTGTATTATTATCTTTGTAACATATCTAACATTTCCTTTCATCATTAAACTCATTATTTTAGAATGTAACTATTGTCATTTGAAAGGAAGGTTGAGGGAAAGAGATCTACAGAAAAAAATATATGATTTTGTTTTCTGGCCACCTTGGCTTATAATGTAAATCATTTAATTTTAAGTAAATATAATCCCAAAGAGCTATTTTTCACTTCCACTTAAAACCAGTAGGTGCATGGGAAGATGGGAAGACCACATTCCCACCCTTTATCCTGTTTTTTTTCTAGCCATGCACCCAATCAGCTGACAGAAAACCTCTTACCAGCAGTGGTCTTTGAAGAAAAA